GCCAGCCAGCAAGTTTCTCCCAGTCGGGACAACAGCGACAAGAGCAGCCGGGGAACACTGAGCAGCAGCAGCAGAGCCGGGCTGAAGCTACATCAACAACAACGCGGCCAGCTAATTCTGAAAATGGAAAACAAACTTATGTATTGACTGAGCCAAGTACAGAATGCACAAAGTCACCTGCAAATCCAATTCGATCGGCCCTGCCACGACATCAACAACAATGGCAGCACTTAATTATCGAGCGATCAGCTGAGCAGCAGCAGCAGATCCGGGCGGATGGCCCATCATCAACGTCACAGCGAGTTATTTCTGCAAATGAATATAAAAAATATGCATTATTTACCGAACCAAGCATAGAATGCATACACTTACCTGTACAATCAATTCAATCTCTTCCGCCATGGCATCTACGACAAAGGCAGCAAGATACCATAGAACAGCAACAACTAGCTTCAGCAGAGCAGCTCCTCCAGCCATGGCAACACCAACAACTAAGCCAACCAGTAAGTTTCTCTCAGTTGGGACAACAACGACAAGAGCAGCCGGGGAACACTGAGCAGCAGCAGCAGAGCCGGGCTGAAGCTACATCAACAACAACGCGGACAGCTAATTCTGAAAATGGAAAACAAATTGATGTATTGACTGAGCCAAGTATAGAATGCTCACAGTTAGCTACAAATCCAATTCGATCGCCCCTGCCACGACGTCAACAACGAAGGCAGCAAGTGATCATCGAGCGAACAACTGAGCAGCAGCAAATTCGGTCTGAAACCAACATGACACAGAAGTGGCCAGATCAGCACTGGGATACCGAGCGAGAAACTCTACAGCAATTGCCTGTTACTCAGCTTAAAAAATCTGGAAACAAATTCATAAAACAGGCTTCATTATCGGTGCCTAATAGTAAATGCACTCACTTACCTGAACAGACAATTCGATTTCCATTTCCACGGCAACGAGTTGGTCAACTTGGGATTTTAGACCAGCAGCAAATCCAGCCCTCAGCTAAACGACGGAGGCAACTTGGACCTGCAGAGCCGCCTTCGACTCACCTAGACCAATTGGCAAAAAAACGTAAGATGAGTGCAAACGAAAATCGACGACCAAGTTGCTCCTTCCTACCAGGACAACAAAGACAAGGGCAGCCGGAGAATATTAAACAGCAGCAGAGCCGGGCGGAAGCCTCATCAACAACAGCGCAGCGAGCTAATTCTGAAAATGGAAAACAAACATATGTATTGACCAAGCCAAGTATAGAATGCACATATTTACCTGCGCTACCAATTCAATCGCCTTTGCCACGGCATCAACGGCAAAAGCTGCAAGAGCAGCTCCTCCAGCCATGGCAACAGCAACATCAAAGCCAGCCAATGAGTTTCCCTCAGCCAGGACAACAACGACAAGAGCACCCGGGGAACACTGAGCAGCAGCAGCAGATCCGGGCGGATGGCCCACCATCAACGTCACAGCGAGTTATTTCTGCAAACGAATATCAAACATATGCATTACTTACCGAGCCAAGTAGAGAGTGCATACACTTACCTGTTCAATCTCTTCCGCCATGGCACCAACGACAAAGGCAGCAAGATATCATTAAACAGCAGCAATTGGCAGAGGGGCTCCTCCATTTATGCCAACAGCAACAACAAAGCCAGCGAATGAGTTTCTCTCTGCCAAGACACAAACGACAAAGGCAGCTGAGGAACACTGAGCAACAGCAACAGAGCCAGGCAGAAGGCCCACCAGCAAAAATGCAGCTAGTTAATTCTGTAAAGGAAGATCAAATACACGAATTATTAAATGAGCCAAGTATAAAATGCACACTGTTACCTGCAAATCCAATTCGGTCGCCCCTGCCACGACGTCAAAAACAAAGGCAGCAAGTGATTACTAAGCGAACAACTGTACGAAGTTTTGCACAGTTGCGGAGTATGGAGCGGCAGCAGCAGAGCCAGGCAGAAGCCTCATCAACAACGAAACAGCGAATCATCCCTGCAAGGAAAGATCAAATACACAAATTAATGAAAGAGCCAAGTGTGGAATGCATACATTTACCTGCACAACCAATTAAATCTCTTCCGCCACGCTATCAACGACAAAGGCAGCAAGAGATCATTGAACAGCAGCAACTAGTTTCAGCAGAGCAGCTCCGCAAACCACGACAAAAACAACAACAAAGTCTGCCAATGAGTTTCCCTCAGCCAGGGCAACAACGACAAGGGCAGCCGGGGATCATTCAGCAGCAGCCATCAATATCTGCAAATGGAGATAATACACATCTACCACTGACTGAGACAAGTGTGAAGTTCACATACTCACCTGCACAACCAACCCGATCACCTCCGCCACGGCATCACCGGCATAGGCAGCAAGGGTTCAGTGAGCACACTAAGCTACAACAACAAACTCCGACAGGCACCAAGCGCAAGCGATCCCCTCAGTTAGCACAGCAGCAACAACACAGGCATCTTCCAACCACAGACCAGGAACAGCTCCAAATTGGGCCGCATTCCTTGCAAAGTCCACTACGGCACGCGACATGTGGCCAACGGCAACGGACGCCGCAGCAGTATCCAGTTAGCGAGTGGCGACCCGGACATAACTGGAGGCAACTCGCACATCGAAAGGCACGCCCGCTTGCGAATTCACCAGAGTCCCCTGGAAAGATAAGAATAATTAATTAATTAGTAACTGGTGTTAAAAAAAAAAAAAAAAAAAAAAAAAAAAAAAAAAAAAAAACAATGTATCATGTGTAACTTATTTGTAAGAAAATATTGCCAGACTGCAATACACTGCAGTCGATCACTTCCGATGCATGCGATGAATTCTCGTTCATCGCATGCGGAGTTGCCACTTTGTTTTAAGTATCGATATGTACGCTAATTATATTTGAATAAGTTGCTCGATAGTAACGCACAAATAAAATAGGTAAGCTGCCGATTGTCTCATTCGACAGCAAGCCCTCATCGTGTACAATAGTGCACAGCAACCTGAAAAAAGATGACGCTAGAGCAGGTCCAGGACATGATCAAAGACCAGCCTTTAGTAATTCAACGTCTAATTCTACCAGCGCCACCTCCGACTGAGCAACAGAACGAGCCACAACAACAATTGCTCATTGACGATGAAGAGCAGCTTGCCACACGACTAAAGCTCCTCCAGCTGCACATGGAACGCGAACTCGACGAGGCGCCTAATGAAGATACAACAGCGCAACATCACCAATTGTCGGGGTCGACTGAATCACATGCGGATTCAATCCAGCACGAACTCTTCAGGCCACAGCAGATAAGGCAGCAATATACACTAGCAGGCGAGCAAACGCAGCACGAAGTTTGTCAGCAGAAGCGAGCCTTTGAGCTGACCATAGCCATGTTCGGCATGCCTCCAATCTGGCCCCATCAGCCATGGCAACAGCAACAACATAGCCTGCCAATTACTTTTCCTCTGCCAGGACACAAACGACAATGGCAGAAGGGGAACACTGAGCAACAGCATCAGAGCCGGGCTGATAGCCCACCCACAAAAACACAACGAGTTAATTCTGTAAATGAAGGCCAAATATACGGATTATTGACTGAGCCAAGTACAGAATGCACAAAGTCACCTGCAAATCCAATTCGATCGGCCCTGCCACGACATCAACAACAAAGGCAGCACGTAATTATCGAGCGAACAGCTGAGCAGCAGCAGCAGACCCGGGCGGATGGCCCATCATCAGCGTCACAGCGAGTTATTTCTGCAAATGAACACCAAACATATGCACTATTTACCGAGTCAAATACAGAATGCATACATCTACCTGCACAACCATTTCGATCTCTTCCGCCATGGCATCAACGACAAAGGCAGCAAGAGATCATAGAACAGCAACAACTAGTTTCAGCAGAACAGCTCCTCCAGCCATGGCAACAGCAACCACAAAGCCAGCCAGCAAGTTTCTCCCAGTCGGGACAACAGCGACAAGAGCAGCCGGGGAACACTGAGCAGCAGCAGCAGAGCCGGGCTGAAGCTACATCAACAACAACGCGGCCAGCTAATTCTGAAAATGGAAAACAAACTTATGTATTGACTGAGCCAAGTACAGAATGCACAAAGTCACCTGCAAATCCAATTCGATCGGCCCTGCCACGACATCAACAACAATGGCAGCACGTAATTATCGAGCGAACAGCTGAGCAGCAGCAGCAGACCCGGGCGGATGGCCCATCATCAGCGTCACAGCGAGTTATTTCTGCAAATGAACACCAAACATATGCACTATTTACCGAGTCAAATACAGAATGCATACATCTACCTGCACAACCATTTCGATCTCTTCCGCCATGGCATCAACGACAAAGGCAGCAAGAGATCATAGAACAGCAACAACTAGTTTCAGCAGAACAGCTCCTCCAGCCATGGCAACAGCAACCACAAAGCCAGCCAGCAAGTTTCTCCCAGTCGGGACAACAGCGACAAGAGCAGCCGGGGAACACTGAGCAGCAGCAGCAGAGCCGGGCTGAAGCTACATCAACAACAACGCGGCCAGCTAATTCTGAAAATGGAAAACAAACTTATGTATTGACTGAGCCAAGTACAGAATGCACAAAGTCACCTGCAAATCCAATTCGATCGGCCCTGCCACGACATCAACAACAATGGCAGCACTTAATTATCGAGCGATCAGCTGAGCAGCAGCAGCAGATCCGGGCGGATGGCCCATCATCAACGTCACAGCGAGTTATTTCTGCAAATGAATATAAAAAATATGCATTATTTACCGAACCAAGCATAGAATGCATACACTTACCTGTACAATCAATTCAATCTCTTCCGCCATGGCATCTACGACAAAGGCAGCAAGATACCATAGAACAGCAACAACTAGCTTCAGCAGAGCAGCTCCTCCAGCCATGGCAACACCAACAACTAAGCCAACCAGTAAGTTTCTCTCAGTTGGGACAACAACGACAAGAGCAGCCGGGGAACACTGAGCAGCAGCAGCAGAGCCGGGCTGAAGCTACATCAACAACAACGCGGACAGCTAATTCTGAAAATGGAAAACAAATTGATGTATTGACTGAGCCAAGTATAGAATGCTCACAGTTAGCTACAAATCCAATTCGATCGCCCCTGCCACGACGTCAACAACGAAGGCAGCAAGTGATCATCGAGCGAACAACTGAGCAGCAGCAAATTCGGTCTGAAACCAACATGACACAGAAGTGGCCAGATCAGCACTGGGATACCGAGCGAGAAACTCTACAGCAATTGCCTGTTACTCAGCTTAAAAAATCTGGAAACAAATTCATAAAACAGGCTTCATTATCGGTGCCTAATAGTAAATGCACTCACTTACCTGAACAGACAATTCGATTTCCATTTCCACGGCAACGAGTTGGTCAACTTGGGATTTTAGACCAGCAGCAAATCCAGCCCTCAGCTAAACGACGGAGGCAACTTGGACCTGCAGAGCCGCCTTCGACTCACCTAGACCAATTGGCAAAAAAACGTAAGATGAGTGCAAACGAAAATCGACGACCAAGTTGCTCCTTCCTACCAGGACAACAAAGACAAGGGCAGCCGGAGAATATTAAACAGCAGCAGAGCCGGGCGGAAGCCTCATCAACAACAGCGCAGCGAGCTAATTCTGAAAATGGAAAACAAACATATGTATTGACCAAGCCAAGTATAGAATGCACATATTTACCTGCGCTACCAATTCAATCGCCTTTGCCACGGCATCAACGGCAAAAGCTGCAAGAGCAGCTCCTCCAGCCATGGCAACAGCAACATCAAAGCCAGCCAATGAGTTTCCCTCAGCCAGGACAACAACGACAAGAGCACCCGGGGAACACTGAGCAGCAGCAGCAGATCCGGGCGGATGGCCCACCATCAACGTCACAGCGAGTTATTTCTGCAAACGAATATCAAACATATGCATTACTTACCGAGCCAAGTAGAGAGTGCATACACTTACCTGTTCAATCTCTTCCGCCATGGCACCAACGACAAAGGCAGCAAGATATCATTAAACAGCAGCAATTGGCAGAGGGGCTCCTCCATTTATGCCAACAGCAACAACAAAGCCAGCGAATGAGTTTCTCTCTGCCAAGACACAAACGACAAAGGCAGCTGAGGAACACTGAGCAACAGCAACAGAGCCAGGCAGAAGGCCCACCAGCAAAAATGCAGCTAGTTAATTCTGTAAAGGAAGATCAAATACACGAATTATTAAATGAGCCAAGTATAAAATGCACACTGTTACCTGCAAATCCAATTCGGTCGCCCCTGCCACGACGTCAAAAACAAAGGCAGCAAGTGATTACTAAGCGAACAACTGTACGAAGTTTTGCACAGTTGCGGAGTATGGAGCGGCAGCAGCAGAGCCAGGCAGAAGCCTCATCAACAACGAAACAGCGAATCATCCCTGCAAGGAAAGATCAAATACACAAATTAATGAAAGAGCCAAGTGTGGAATGCATACATTTACCTGCACAACCAATTAAATCTCTTCCGCCACGCTATCAACGACAAAGGCAGCAAGAGATCATTGAACAGCAGCAACTAGTTTCAGCAGAGCAGCTCCGCAAACCACGACAAAAACAACAACAAAGTCTGCCAATGAGTTTCCCTCAGCCAGGGCAACAACGACAAGGGCAGCCGGGGATCATTCAGCAGCAGCCATCAATATCTGCAAATGGAGATAATACACATCTACCACTGACTGAGACAAGTGTGAAGTTCACATACTCACCTGCACAACCAACCCGATCACCTCCGCCACGGCATCACCGGCATAGGCAGCAAGGGTTCAGTGAGCACACTAAGCTACAACAACAAACTCCGACAGGCACCAAGCGCAAGCGATCCCCTCAGTTAGCACAGCAGCAACAACACAGGCATCTTCCAACCACAGACCAGGAACAGCTCCAAATTGGGCCGCATTCCTTGCAAAGTCCACTACGGCACGCGACATGTGGCCAACGGCAACGGACGCCGCAGCAGTATCCAGTTAGCGAGTGGCGACCCGGACATAACTGGAGGCAACTCGCACATCGAAAGGCACGCCCGCTTGCGAATTCACCAGAGTCCCCTGGAAAGATAAGAATAATTAATTAATTAGTAACTGGTGTTAAAAAAAAAAAAAAAAAAAAAAAAAAAAAAAAAAAAAAAACAATGTATCATGTGTAACTTATTTGTAAGAAAATATTGCCAGACTGCAATACACTGCAGTCGATCACTTCCGATGCATGCGATGAATTCTCGTTCATCGCATGCGGAGTTGCCACTTTGTTTTAAGTATCGATATGTACGCTAATTATATTTGAATAAGTTGCTCGATAGTAACGCACAAATAAAATAGGTAAGCTGCCGATTGTCTCATTCGACAGCAAGCCCTCATCGTGTACAATAGTGCACAGCAACCTGAAAAAAAAAAGCGGTTCGGTGAATCATTGATAAACTCATTGAGGCGTAGCTACAGGGATGGAGAGATGACGCTAGAGCAGGTCCAGGACATGATCAAAGACCAGCCTTTAGTAATTCAACGTCTAATTCTACCAGCGCCACCTCCGACTGAGCAACAGAACGAGCCACAACAACAATTGCTCATTGACGATGAAGAGCAGCTTGCCACACGACTAAAGCTCCTCCAGCTGCACATGGAACGCGAACTCGACGAGGCGCCTAATGAAGATACAACAGCGCAACATCACCAATTGTCGGGGTCGACTGAATCACATGCGGATTCAATCCAGCACGAACTCTTCAGGCCACAGCAGATAAGGCAGCAATATACACTAGCAGGCGAGCAAACGCAGCACGAAGTTTGTCAGCAGAAGCGAGCCTTTGAGCTGACCATAGCCATGTTCGGCATGCCTCCAATCTGGCCCCATCAGCCATGGCAACAGCAACAACATAGCCTGCCAATTACTTTTCCTCTGCCAGGACACAAACGACAATGGCAGAAGGGGAACACTGAGCAACAGCATCAGAGCCGGGCTGATAGCCCACCCACAAAAACACAACGAGTTAATTCTGTAAATGAAGGCCAAATATACGGATTATTGACTGAGCCAAGTACAGAATGCACAAAGTCACCTGCAAATCCAATTCGATCGGCCCTGCCACGACATCAACAACAAAGGCAGCACGTAATTATCGAGCGAACAGCTGAGCAGCAGCAGCAGACCCGGGCGGATGGCCCATCATCAGCGTCACAGCGAGTTATTTCTGCAAATGAACACCAAACATATGCACTATTTACCGAGTCAAATACAGAATGCATACATCTACCTGCACAACCATTTCGATCTCTTCCGCCATGGCATCAACGACAAAGGCAGCAAGAGATCATAGAACAGCAACAACTAGTTTCAGCAGAACAGCTCCTCCAGCCATGGCAACAGCAACCACAAAGCCAGCCAGCAAGTTTCTCCCAGTCGGGACAACAGCGACAAGAGCAGCCGGGGAACACTGAGCAGCAGCAGCAGAGCCGGGCTGAAGCTACATCAACAACAACGCGGCCAGCTAATTCTGAAAATGGAAAACAAACTTATGTATTGACTGAGCCAAGTACAGAATGCACAAAGTCACCTGCAAATCCAATTCGATCGGCCCTGCCACGACATCAACAACAATGGCAGCACGTAATTATCGAGCGAACAGCTGAGCAGCAGCAGCAGACCCGGGCGGATGGCCCATCATCAGCGTCACAGCGAGTTATTTCTGCAAATGAACACCAAACATATGCACTATTTACCGAGTCAAATACAGAATGCATACATCTACCTGCACAACCATTTCGATCTCTTCCGCCATGGCATCAACGACAAAGGCAGCAAGAGATCATAGAACAGCAACAACTAGTTTCAGCAGAACAGCTCCTCCAGCCATGGCAACAGCAACCACAAAGCCAGCCAGCAAGTTTCTCCCAGTCGGGACAACAGCGACAAGAGCAGCCGGGGAACACTGAGCAGCAGCAGCAGAGCCGGGCTGAAGCTACATCAACAACAACGCGGCCAGCTAATTCTGAAAATGGAAAACAAACTTATGTATTGACTGAGCCAAGTACAGAATGCACAAAGTCACCTGCAAATCCAATTCGATCGGCCCTGCCACGACATCAACAACAATGGCAGCACTTAATTATCGAGCGATCAGCTGAGCAGCAGCAGCAGATCCGGGCGGATGGCCCATCATCAACGTCACAGCGAGTTATTTCTGCAAATGAATATAAAAAATATGCATTATTTACCGAACCAAGCATAGAATGCATACACTTACCTGTACAATCAATTCAATCTCTTCCGCCATGGCATCTACGACAAAGGCAGCAAGATACCATAGAACAGCAACAACTAGCTTCAGCAGAGCAGCTCCTCCAGCCATGGCAACACCAACAACTAAGCCAACCAGTAAGTTTCTCTCAGTTGGGACAACAACGACAAGAGCAGCCGGGGAACACTGAGCAGCAGCAGCAGAGCCGGGCTGAAGCTACATCAACAACAACGCGGACAGCTAATTCTGAAAATGGAAAACAAATTGATGTATTGACTGAGCCAAGTATAGAATGCTCACAGTTAGCTACAAATCCAATTCGATCGCCCCTGCCACGACGTCAACAACGAAGGCAGCAAGTGATCATCGAGCGAACAACTGAGCAGCAGCAAATTCGGTCTGAAACCAACATGACACAGAAGTGGCCAGATCAGCACTGGGATACCGAGCGAGAAACTCTACAGCAATTGCCTGTTACTCAGCTTAAAAAATCTGGAAACAAATTCATAAAACAGGCTTCATTATCGGTGCCTAATAGTAAATGCACTCACTTACCTGAACAGACAATTCGATTTCCATTTCCACGGCAACGAGTTGGTCAACTTGGGATTTTAGACCAGCAGCAAATCCAGCCCTCAGCTAAACGACGGAGACAACTTGGACCTGCAGAGCCGCCTTCGACTCACCTAGACCAATTGGCAAAAAAACGTAAGATGAGTGCAAACGAAAATCGACGACCAAGTTGCTCCTTCCTACCAGGACAACAAAGACAAGGGCAGCCGGAGAATATTAAACAGCAGCAGAGCCGGGCGGAAGCCTCATCAACAACAGCGCAGCGAGCTAATTCTGAAAATGGAAAACAAACATATGTATTGACCAAGCCAAGTATAGAATGCACATATTTACCTGCGCTACCAATTCAATCGCCTTTGCCACGGCATCAACGGCAAAAGCTGCAAGAGCAGCTCCTCCAGCCATGGCAACAGCAACATCAAAGCCAGCCAATGAGTTTCCCTCAGCCAGGACAACAACGACAAGAGCACCCGGGGAACACTGAGCAGCAGCAGCAGATCCGGGCGGATGGCCCACCATCAACGTCACAGCGAGTTATTTCTGCAAACGAATATCAAACATATGCATTACTTACCGAGCCAAGTAGAGAGTGCATACACTTACCTGTTCAATCTCTTCCGCCATGGCACCAACGACAAAGGCAGCAAGATATCATTAAACAGCAGCAATTGGCAGAGGGGCTCCTCCATTTATGCCAACAGCAACAACAAAGCCAGCGAATGAGTTTCTCTCTGCCAAGACACAAACGACAAAGGCAGCTGAGGAACACTGAGCAACAGCAACAGAGCCAGGCAGAAGGCCCACCAGCAAAAATGCAGCTAGTTAATTCTGTAAAGGAAGATCAAATACACGAATTATTAAATGAGCCAAGTATAAAATGCACACTGTTACCTGCAAATCCAATTCGGTCGCCCCTGCCACGACGTCAAAAACAAAGGCAGCAAGTGATTACTAAGCGAACAACTGTACGAAGTTTTGCACAGTTGCGGAGTATGGAGCGGCAGCAGCAGAGCCAGGCAGAAGCCTCATCAACAACGAAACAGCGAATCATCCCTGCAAGGAAAGATCAAATACACAAATTAATGAAAGAGCCAAGTGTGGAATGCATACATTTACCTGCACAACCAATTAAATCTCTTCCGCCACGCTATCAACGACAAAGGCAGCAAGAGATCATTGAACAGCAGCAACTAGTTTCAGCAGAGCAGCTCCGCAAACCACGACAAAAACAACAACAAAGTCTGCCAATGAGTTTCCCTCAGCCAGGGCAACAACGACAAGGGCAGCCGGGGATCATTCAGCAGCAGCCATCAATATCTGCAAATGGAGATAATACACATCTACCACTGACTGAGACAAGTGTGAAGTTCACATACTCACCTGCACAACCAACCCGATCACCTCCGCCACGGCATCACCGGCATAGGCAGCAAGGGTTCAGTGAGCACACTAAGCTACAACAACAAACTCCGACAGGCACCAAGCGCAAGCGATCCCCTCAGTTAGCACAGCAGCAACAACACAGGCATCTTCCAACCACAGACCAGGAACAGCTCCAAATTGGGCCGCATTCCTTGCAAAGTCCACTACGGCACGCGACATGTGGCCAACGGCAACGGACGCCGCAGCAGTATCCAGTTAGCGAGTGGCGACCCGGACATAACTGGAGGCAACTCGCACATCGAAAGGCACGCCCGCTTGCGAATTCACCAGAGTCCCCTGGAAAGATAAGAATAATTAATTAATTAGTAACTGGTGTTAAAAAAAAAAAAAAAAAAAAAAAAAAAAAAAAAAAAAACAATGTATCATGTGTAACTTATTTGTAAGAAAATATTGCCAGACTGCAATACACTGCAGTCGATCACTTCCGATGCATGCGATGAATTCTCGTTCATCGCATGCGGAGTTGCCACTTTGTTTTAAGTATCGATATGTACGCTAATTATATTTGAATAAGTTGCTCGATAGTAACGCACAAATAAAATAGGTAAGCTGCCGATTGTCTCATTCGACAGCAAGCCCTCATCGTGTACAATAGTGCACAGCAACCTGAAAAAATATATTTGTGAAGTTATACTGTGTAATTGCTAAACAGGCATAGTGGCAAGCAAATACATTTAATATTTAAAAGGTGCTAAAAGTGGTAAAAGACAAACATAACTGCACCAGAAATAACATATAAAGTGCATAAATGCAAAAACCAACTGTGTCTAATAGCCCGCCTAAAATTCCGCATAACGCTTCTGAAATTACCGCAAACTCGGCTGTCCCCCCCCGCCGCGCAACCGAAGAATGCAGCATAAGTGAAATAGCGAAAAGTGAACTTTCACAGTTGCAGCAACAGCTCACAAAAAATCCGCAAAAGCAGCTCAGCCGAGAACACCGGCGGCAGCAGTTGCTAAGGCTATGCGAAGAGGAGGAAAGGGCAATGCCCGATGTCCCAGCGCAGCAGCCGACGCTTACGCTCAAGCATAAGCCGAAGCTGAAAACAGCTCCCGCCAACTCTTCACCGCCCAGCTCGGCACCGCTGAGAATGTCTTTGACGAAGTCGTTGAAAGCTAAGGCATGGAAAGAGAGCCAATTATCCGCCTGCAGAGAGAAAAGTTCAGAAGAGAACACCTATGTCAATGTGTTGGAGTCTGACGATGACAGCGACATAGCAGCCAATAAAAATTATGACCAGCCGCAACAGCAGACAACTATTGCACAGGTACATAATTTCAATACAAATACTAGCATAACTAGCACTCCCAAAGCAGCCTCTCACTGTGATCCATCGCCAAACGTATCGGCACACGAAGTTGAACTTCATAATGTTGATAACATAAGAGAAGCTAGCTATGTTAATAACATTGATGAGCTAACAGACGCACTCGACGACGAAGATGATGATGATGACTGTTACCGACCCGCTGCTGTTATTAACAGCTCAGTTGCTGACATGCTTAACAGAACTACTACTGTTGAGCATAACAGCACAGCCACTGCTAACAAGGGGGAAACTTCTGCAAATGTTAAAACATCTGATGCATTTGCTGCCAATAACATTAATAGTATTACTTTTGAAAAAATCGAACCAATCCCACAAGCAATAACGCCAATAGTAGCAAAAGGACCGAAATTCAACTGCTCTATGCTACCTACAACTTCCTTGTCTGCCAAGAAAAGTTTAAAACGTAAAAGTACTCTGCCGCAACAAAGCAAACAAAAGCGAGCACAGACACTGGCAGTACAAGGAAACTCACGACCAGGCATGAAGATACAGGACTTCCTGAAGTCATCAACAAGAGTAACTAAGGCAACAAATAAAGCAGCTATAAACAACAAATATAAAAAAAGCAATCGTAATTCTAAAAAAGCAAACCCTTCTAGCAGTACTAAACTCAACAACAGCAGTATGGATATTGACCTGGATAGCAGCGACATATCGGCACATAATATAAGTTCTGATGATGACATTGTTCAGATCCAAAGCAATGCGCAAGAAGTTACAAACCAGGCCACCAAAGTTATGAAACAACAACAGCAACAACAGCAGCAACAACAGCAGCAACAACAACAGCAACAACTTCGCCAACAGCAGCAACAACAACAGCAGCAGCAGCCAACTAAAAGCAAAAAAATTCCAACAATTTTTCTACCCAGCATAAGTGACATCCAACAAATAATTGATATGCTCAATAATACAGTGGGTGCAAATAAATATACAACAAAGTGCACACAAAACGATGGAGTCAGAGTGCAATGCAGCGACTTACTATCGTATAATGCAGCTATTGCACTTCTCGGCGCCAATACGGAAATTCAGATGCACACCCACCAGATGCGAAGCGAACGAGGATACCGTGTTTTACTAAAAAATGTCCACCACTCCACGCCATGCGAGCAAATCCGAGCAGAATTGGCGAAATATGGACACACGGTTCGCTTCGCTAGTGTCATTAAACATCGATTTGAGCGTCGGCCACTTAACATGTTTGAAGTTGAACTAGCACCAAATAGCGACACCAACGACAAAGTGCTGGAACTGAAAACCCTGGGAAACCAACACATTGAAGTAGAAAGACAGCTGAAGCGAGATGAGCCTGTTCAGTGTCATCGGTGCCAATCGTTCGGGCATAGCAAGAACTACTGTCGTAGGCCTTTTGCATGTCTCAAATGCGGCGAACAGCACCCGACTACAACGTGTACCAAGCCCAGAAACACACCTGCTAAGTGCGTTAACTGCAAGGCTGACCACATAGCCAGCTTTAAGGGATGCAGCGTGTACAAAATGGAGCGAGAAAAACTAGCAGCAAATCGTGTCCGGGCGGCAATTGATAGGCAACAGCAGCAGCAGCAACAGCAACAACAGAAGCAGCAACAACAGCAGCAGCAGCAACAGCAACAACAACAACAACAGCAGCAGCAACAGCAACAACAGAAGCAGCAACAACAGCAGCAGCAGCAGCAACAGCAGCAACACCAACAGCAACAGCAGCAGCAGCAGCAGCAACAACAACAACAACATCGGCAGCTACAACAACAACACCAGCAGCAGCAACAACAACAACATCAACACCAGCAACCACAATACCCAGCAATTAATACTTCAGCTCCTAGTGGAATTAAGCTGACTATGGAACGGAAGCAGCAGCAACAGCAACTCCGGCAACAACAGCAAAAGCAGCAGCAGCAACAACAGCAGCAACATCAACAGCTGAAGCCAAATAATCAACTGACTTATAGCCAAGTAGCCAGAGGACTAGCAAACACGAGTCGGACCCACAACCCAGCCATGCAACACCTCAAGAAGTACCAGCAACAGCTACAACTGGAGCAGCAACAGCAGCAGCGACAACAGCAACAACAACAACAGCAGCAACTACAGCCCGAGCAGCAGCAGCAACTTCAGAGGCAACAGCGACCGAGGCAACAACAACTACCTGAGCAGCAAAAACGGCAGCAATATCAACGACAGCAAGAGCAGCAATCACATGAGCAACAGCAACGACACCAGCAGCAATCGCAACAACAACAACATAGACAACAGGCGGACTTACCACTCCTGGAGGCGCTGCAGCAAAATGTGATAAGTATAAATGAGATGTCCAAGAAAATAGACATGCTAATTAGCCTGCTGCTCACAATGGCAGCAAGCAACACTAATATCAATAAACAAGGAGATCAACAAACAAACCCACTAACAACATCAATCTCTGAAACCTTGAATAATGTCAATAAAACAAACAATTTTCCTAATTTAATGAGTACATTGATTAGCACAGCACAGCCAATAAACAACAGCCAATTGGCAAACGCCAATTGTGAACACATGGCCACTGACAGCAGCCAGTATGTATAGAGCGAACAACACCAGCAATGCCAGCGTGGCTGCCACACTGAGTCACCTCGATGATGGCAGACACACCACTCACACTACTAGTGACACCACAACTACTACAACAACACATTTGTCCAACCTTAACAGTCCATTGCTTAACAGGAGAAGGCCAAACATTATTCCAAATACGAATCACAGCAGCGACCAATATGTCAACTCTTTTAAAATTGCATATTGGAACGCTGCTGGCATTAGAAACAAAGTAAATGAATTAGAGGTATTCATGCATCGACATAAAATCGATATTATGATGCTTGTTGAGCTACGTTTGGGCCCCAGCACTCTCAATCCAGGCCCCCCAATTACTATTAACGGCTACCATACATACGCGGCAACTCGCCCACCTCCACACCATAGATGCGGGGGCGTTGCCACTTTAATAAAACATGGAATCAAACATATTGCTCTGGAAGCAATTGTGTTTGAATCCATGCAATCTGCACCAGTAGCTGTGACCCTGGCAAAAAATGAGACCATTGTCCTAGCTCCAATCTATTGCCCACCGCAATATAATTGGAGCGCTGACATGTTTGCCAAACTTTTTCAACATTTTGAAAAGTTGAGCGGGTCCGGGTTCATTTTATGTGGCGACTGGAACGCCAAACATTCCTGGTGGGGCAACCAACGTGCTTGTCGACGAGGGGTAGAGCTGCTAAGAAGCATTCACAGCAACAAGAAGCTGAACATTCTTGCTACAGGTGGGGCTACGCACTTCCCATACACAAGTAGAAATAGGCCATCCGCTATCGATTTTGCGGTCTACAGTGGCATTAACAATGACCGACTACAAACACACTCTACAATCGATCTCGAATCGGATCATTTACCTATACATATAGGCCTCAGAGTAGGCCGATTCCCGTATAAACAAACAACGAAGCGACTGCTACCGATAAATGCAAACGTAAAAAAATTTCAAAATCATTTAGATAAAAATGTTCGTCTTAATACAGAAATAATATCGGGACCCGATATTGAAGACGCCATCGACATATTAAATAAAAACATATATAATGCCTCCTTAGCAGCAATACACCCAACTCGTAGACATCAACAGCAACAAAGACAAAGCACAAATACAAATCGCATGAACCATGGCCGTTTTAAATTAACAAACGAAACAATTAGACTGTTGGCAATAAAACGGCAGTGCAAGAGAGAACATATGGTCATGCGAACACCTCTAACACGAAGCCGACTTAGCCAGGCCCAAAACAAACTAAAAAAAGCGCTTCGTATGGACAAGAAGAAACAAACGAACAAAATGTTTGAACAAATAGACGCTTCTGATCGCTACAAGATGCAAAAACTTTGGCGCATCACAAACAACATCAAAAGGCAACCTGAGCCAAATTGGCCACTTAAAATTCAAGCGACTGACAACAACAATAGTAGCACCAACAGAACGCAATGGACTAAAACTAGTAGAGAAAAGGCAGAGGTTTTTGCTACATACTTGGAGCAACGTTTCAGCCCCATATTCTCAAATACGGCTGAATACAGACTCCAGGTAAATAATGAAATAAACACTAGACAGCAACTTAACGATTGCGACAGCGGCGCTGGCGTCGCTGGTGTTGTCCCTTTTCGCCCAATTACATATACTGAAGTGACAAAAGAGATTGACTGCTTGACAATAAAAAAGGCTGCAGGCATCGACAACATAGACAATAGAGTCATCAAAGCACTACCAAAGAAAGCAATATTGTACCTTGTCATGATATACAACTGCATACTCAGACATGGCCACTTCCCGCGTCAGTGGAAATGCGCTGCCATAAAAGCAATTTTAAAGCCTGGAAAACCCACAGAAGAGGCCGCCTCATATAGGCCAATAAGTCTTCTGGCAGGCTTCTCCAAAATCTTCGAAAGGCTTCTCATGTACAGGCTGTATGAATGCTCTGAATTTGCAAAGGCCGTGCCACTTCATCAATTTGGCTTTCGCAAAGATCATGGCACTGAGCAGCAACTAGCACGGGTAACCCAATTCATACTGGGTGCATTCGAAAAGAAACAATACTGCTCAGCAGTCTATATCGATATACGCGAAGCATTTGATAGAGTATGGCACGAAGGATTGCTCTTAAAACTAGGCAAGATACTGCCTAATAAGCTGTATAATGTCCTCAAGAGCTACCTACTTGATCGCACTTTCATTGTTCATGGAAACGAGGGCATTAAATCAAGAATAGGCAAAGTTAGCGCTGGAGTGCCCCAGGGGAGCGTACTTGGGCCAATTCTATATATCATCTACACATCTGACATGCCATTACCTCACCTTCCAACACCTCTCAATTCAACAACAATAGCAGCAACAAGAACAAATACAGAAACATCTGAAACTGATCCATTCAACTGCAGCATGCTGCTGTCAACATTTGCTGATGACACTGTCATAATGAGCGCTGCTGACAAACTGCATGCAGCATACTATGCCAACCAAAAGTATCTGCGCGAATTCACCAAATGGTCTAACCGATGGTGCATCCAAATCAATGACAGCAAATCAGCTCATGTTGTTCATACTCTACGATCTTTGAACAACAACCGAATGACTCACCTGACTCCACGACTCAATGGCCAAGAAATCCCCTCAAAACCAAGGCAAAAGTACCTAGGTGTCCACCTGGACCGAAAACTCCACATGCAACACCATGTCACGCAACTACGATGCCGCCTCAAAGCCCTCTATAGGAAACTAGAGTGGCTAATAGGAAACAAAAGCGTACTATCTGTAGAATGCAAAATCACCATCTACAAGCAGATGATTGCGCCGATATGGAGATATGCTTTGCCGATCTGGGGTGCCATGATCTCCGACACACAGCTACGCCGAATAGAAACCACACAGAACTGGATTCTAAGGAAGATAGTGAAGGCCTCCTGGTGGATCAGGAATAAAGACATACGTGATACTTACGACATTGGCACAGTGGATGAAATATTTCACATAACTAGCAAAAGATTTGCCAACTCACTTGCTATTCATCCTAATGCAAATGCTCGTAAGCTAATCGCAAGCCCGTATGTTCCAATTCGTCTTGATCGGCAAAGATACAGTCTGCAACTACAACAACATGTTCGCCCTCTACAGCAACTAGTGCAGCAATCGCAAGAACAACAACAGCTGCCAACTTTGCTTCGCATGGAGCTTGAAGAAGAAGAAGCAAACTCGCTCAGAATGCAACAGCAGCAGCAACAGCAGACTCCACAACAACAGCCAGCCAGATTTTGCGAAATGAGGATAAATTCTCTAAGAAGACACTACAGAGAGGGACGAATGTCATTAGATGAGCTAAAACTCGCTATTAGGGATCAGCCATTGGTTATACAGCAATTAGTACTGCCTCGCGAGCTTGCCATCCAAATATACCAGCAACAGCAACAATTGCAACAGCAACAACAACAGCAACTACAGCAGCAGCAGCAACAACAGCAGCAGCACCAGCAGCAGCAGCAGCAACAACAGCAGCAATCACAGCAGCAGCAGCAACAACAACAGCAGCAGCAGCAACAACAACAACAGCAGCAGCAGCAGCAACAACAACAGCAGCAGCAGCATCAGCAACAGCAACAGCAACAACAACAACAATTACAGCAGCAGCAGCAGCAGCAGCACCAGCAGCAGCAACAATCACAGCAGCAGCAGCAGCAGCATCAGCAACAGCAACAACAACAGCAACAACAGCAGCAGCAGCAACAACAGCAGCAGCAGCAACTACAGCAGCAGCACCAGCAGCAGCAGCACCAGCAGCAGCATCAGCAGCAGCAACAACAGCAGCAACCACAGCTGCAGCAGCAACAACAGCAGCAGCAGCAGCACCAACAGCAGCATTTGCAGCAGCAGCAGCAGCAGCAGCAGCAGCAACAACAACAACAGCAGCAGCAGCAGCAACAACAACAACAGCATCAGCAACAGCAACAACAACAGCAATTACAGCAGCAGCAGCAACAACAGCAACAGCAGCAGCAGCAGCAACAACAGCAACAGCAGCAGCAGCAGCAGCATCAGCAGCAGCAACAATCACAGCAGCAACAGCAGCAGCAGCAGCAGCATCAGCAACAGCAACAACAACAGCAACTACAGCAGCAGCATCAGCAGCAGCAAAAACAACAGCAGCAGCAGCAGCACCAGCAGCAACAGCAGCATCAGCAGCAGCAACAACAACAGCAACCACAGCAGCAGCAGCAACAACAACAACAACAGCAGCAACAGCAACAACTACAGTTTGTAGGACATCAACATCAGGCAACTCAGCCGCCAGACGTCGTAATAGTGCTAGATGCAGAGCAGCAGCAACCAGAACAACAACTAGAACGACCACTCTCGCAACCCAAGCAAGCCAACTTACAACAGCAACGGCTAACTGAGGATGAGCAGCAGCTTGATCAGCGACTAGAACTACTCAGGCGGCAACTGGAGCGAGAGATGGATGAGGATTCTTATAACGAGCCATCTCAGCACCAGTTACCTCCAGAGCAGCAGCAACACAACCTGCAACACAACATGCAACACCACTCAATAGCCCCACCTGAAAATAAAACAAAAACAAACACTAATACACTTAACCTAGTTTGTGCAATTAAAACTATTTCTTATACTCCACAGAGCATACAATTAAGCCTACATAGCCGTCCAAACAACGCCACAAGTCCCTCTTGGCACCATAGCCAGCTCCAGGCTGCACATCAGGCCCACCAGCAGCCCCTCCAGCAGCAACTTGATACGCGGGAGGTAGTCGAGGCACTCCTCAGCCACAATATGCACCCAACTCTCACGGCGGCTAAAAGGCTAAGAAGTGGTTCAATAAGCTATATTGAGCCCAAACGACGCTTACCTGCAGCTCCTGACAATCAGCAACAGCGGCCACTCCCCGCTACACTCGGCAAAAGACACTTTGCGGGACCAGCTCAACATAACTGTTGGCCCCCAAAGCGCCAGAAGCTCGTGCAACGACAGCAACAACGTCAAGTAGGCCTGCGCAGAACATGGCTGGGCACACGGCAGCTGCAAATGCCCCACAGGCTGGGAATATGGCTACTGCTCTCCAGCATTGGCATGCAAACACGCCATAAGGTGCCCCAGAAGCTCGTGTGGGCACCTCCAGCAGAGTACAGTCAATCCTCGACGAACGGCAGACATCTCCAAATTGCCAGAAGGCGCCCGTGGCACTCCTGGCAGCGGCTCCAAAGTCGATGGTCCAATTGCGGGCGGCAAACACACAGGAAGGCCAGGCCGTACAACATATTAATCCACGCGACCTGGAATATATAAATAATAAGTTAATTTGCACCAATATAGAATAATAATGTTCAACAAATCCTTAAATACGCCCTTCTGGCAAACACTGTTTACATTTAGAACTCAGCTTGTATTAATTCAACAGCTGAGCATGTTATCTCAGCTGTTCTGAATGTAATCGAAATCAGCCCTGATAACATTAACAGAGGTATGTTAATAACAGCAACAGTTGAGTAATTGCTCAACTGTTCTGAACGCAATCGAAAACAACCCTGATAATGTTAACAGAGGCACTGTTAATAACAGAAATTAATACCGCCAACTGCTAAAAATTCAAATAAGCCTGCTAAGCATAATATTAAGTAATGTTAAATGTAAAAATAATTGTTAAATATTTATATTTTTGTAATTCGTCACAATTTTGTCCTTATGTTGTGATATGCATGTAAATTTTGTTAAATTATTTCATACATGCCAGTAATTTGTCAGCTAGTCCGTTTCACAATTAGACCTATTTCGTTCCATTTCTGTCTCATATATTGCATTGTGAATTAGTATTAAGCAATGAAATAGACAATAAAATGCGACTGCTAGCTCAATCGTTAGCAGTTCGTCGTAGCGCACGCATGCGCAGCAATTTAAAAAAAAATATCCAGCCATAGCATATTGTGCACTTACAATTCGCACAAACTGCACTCCCAATTCTCAGTGCCAGAATTACCATATGACCAATTCAACTAACAATAATACTAACCCATTAATATGCAAGTCATTCAGTTTGTCAGAATAGAGACTGAGAAGAGACCCTAAAGTGTATGTTCTTAGACAAGCAGACGACAACCAAGTTGCATGTTAACGTTCATACCAGACAAACAAAAACAAACCCAATTTGCTCAATAGCAACAGGAGACCCATACACACCAAAAGTGACCCAAACAACAATCCAATATTCGGATATATCACACCCCTAATAAATCTGCACCGCCTAAATTCCAGTGCCTAGAACAGTCATATCAGACTTCTAAAAACTGCTTAGCTTGGGTACCTGGAGCTCTGTCCTTCCGGACATGTGTAAACCAGGTGAGTGAGCAGTTATAGATTAAAAACAGCACAACAATATCCCAGTGCCTAAACTGCTTTGCTTGGGTGCCTGGAGCTCTGCCCTTCTGGGTATGTGTAAACCAGGTGAGTGAGCAGTGATAAAGAATCAAATCTGCACAACCTCAGTGCCTTAACTGCTTTGCTTGGGTGCCTGGAGCTCTGCCCTTCTGGGTATGTGTAAACCAGGTGAGTGAGCAGTGACCATGAAACCCCAAGAAAACAATGCTAGCCGGCACAACTCCTATGCCAAACAGCTCAACAAACCTCAAAAACCTGAACTGTCCCACCAGACTTCAAAACTAATCCACAACTAACCACCAACCTGGCGCAAACACTAACCACAACTAACAACCTCAATATGCTCTACACTTCCAAGGCTAGCCACCAAAGCCACAATAGCGTATTGACCAACCACCAATAAAAACAATTCGTGCTTCACCCAGCACAACAAGCTCCAACCTGAGCAACACCTAAGCGCCAAAAACAAGAGCTATACCTAGCCATAATCTGCAATACCAACAATTGCCTCCCAAGAAAACGACCGATTCCGCGTGGTCCGCTAAGCGGCGCAGTGCGGTAAACTTGTCCAGATCCAGCCATTACACGGATCTGGGCCACCAGCCGTATGTACTGAGTAATAGACCAGTACATACTACAAAAAAAAAAAAAAAAGACAACCAAGTTGCATGTTAACGTTCATACCAGACAAACAAAAACAAACCCAATTTGCTCAATAGCAACAGGAGACCCATACACACCAAAAGTGACCCAAACAACAATCCAATATTCGGATATATCACACCCCTAATAAATCTGCACCGCCTAAATTCCAGTGCCTAGAACAGTCATATCAGACTTCTAAAAACTGCTTAGCTTGGGTACCTGGAGCTCTGTCCTTCCGGACATGTGTAAACCAGGTGAGTGAGCAGTTATAGATTAAAAACAGCACAACAATATCCCAGTGCCTAAACTGCTTTGCTTGGGTGCCTGGAGCTCTGCCCTTCTGGGTATGTGTAAACCAGGTGAGTGAGCAGTGATAAAGAATCAAATCTGCACAACCTCAGTGCCTTAACTGCTTTGCTTGGGTGCCTGGAGCTCTGCCCTTCTGGGTATGTGTAAACCAGGTGAGTGAGCAGTGACCATGAAACCCCAAGAAAACAATGCTAGCCGGCACAACTCCTATGCCAAACAGCTCAACAAACCTCAAAAACCTGAACTGTCCCACCAGACTTCAAAACTAATCCACAACTAACCACCAACCTGGCGCAAACACTAACCACAACTAACAACCTCAATATGCTCTACACTTCCAAGGCTAGCCACCAAAGCCACAATAGCGTATTGACCAACCACCAATAAAAACAATTCGTGCTTCACCCAGCACAACAAGCTCCAACCTGAGCAACACCTAAGCGCCAAAAACAAGAGCTATACCTAGCCATAATCTGCAATACCAACAATTGCCTCCCAAGAAAACGACCGATTCCGCGTGGTCCGCTAAGCGGCGCAGTGCGGTAAACTTGTCCAGATCCAGCCATTACACGGATCTGGGCCACCAGCCGTATGTACTGAGTAATAGACCAGTACATACTACAAAAAAAAAAAAAAAACCAGTTCGAATTGATTAATTTTCAAATCAATTAGTCTGAATTGGTTGAGGATTCACCATACCCGGTCCCATCGGCCTGTCAGCTGCCCAATAAATCACACTCACGCAACATACAACAGCCGCAGCAGCATTTAGCAGCTGCAGCAGCACCACCACCATTTAGCAGCCACAGCAGCAGCAGCAGCATTTAGCAGCAGCAGCAGCTTTTAGCAGCCGCAGCAGCAGCAGCAGCATTCAGCAGCCGCAGCAGCAGCGGCAGCATTTAGCAGCCGCAGCAGCAGCAGCAGCATTTAGCAGCCGCAGCAACAGCAGCACCAGTAACAGCAACAATAAGCAGCAACTTTAACAACAACCGCTGCAGCAGCAGCATCAACAACACCCGCCACTACAGCTACTGCAGCATCAGCAGCCGCAGCAGCAGCACAACACCATCAACAGCAACAACAGCAGCCGCAGCAGCAGCCTCAGCAGCAGCAGCAGCAGCAGCAGCAGCAGTAATTTGCAGCAGCCGCAGCAGCAGCAGCAGCAGCAACAGCAGCAGCAATTAACAGCTGCAGCACCAGCAGCAGCAGCAGCAACAGCAACAGCAGCAAATGCAGCAACATCAACAACAGCCGCCGTAACAGCCGTTGCAGCATCAGCAGCAGCAACAACAACAACAACATCAATATTAACAGCAATACAACTGCGCCATCAAATCGGTCAACACGACCAACATCTACTTATCAAATCAATAATTTATATTTAAATACACACACACACACACACACATGCACATATTCTATACTACACAAATACAATAACAAATAATCTAACATTAAAACTCACAAATATCCAAACATATTTAACACTACTCCATATATTAACAATCGAAAGAACTCAAAACAATATCATATACATGCACACATGCACACAATCCACACATGCGCACATGCACACATGCGCGCATGCATGCACGCTAACAAGCAACACTAGCATACATGCGCGCATGCATGCATACTTAGCCTAAAACCAAAACAAAACAAAGCAAAAACAATTACAAAACTCATAACAACTCTATTCTCAATGCCCCCCCCCTGCCCACTATCTACCTATCATAGATATTCAATGTTACCATTGTGCTCATTTTTAGATAGTCAGCCAGTGCTAAAAGTAATTTTTAATAATTAATCGAGAGAAGGCACTAGGCGAAAAACACCATCAAAATTAACTATCAAAAAAAAAAAAAAAAAAAAAAAAAAGAGCGAAATTTATCTAACTTTTAGATTGGATGTGGAGTAAATTAACTTCAGGATGGGGAATATCTATTTTCAAATAAGAAATATATATAAAATTGGGAATTCGAGAATTGCACATGACACCCAGCATTAATATGCTGGGTAATGATACTATTAATCCGGCATGGTCGACCGCTGTTGTGCCTTGTGGAGTGGCCCAACGGGTACACACACACACTTTGTGTCGATTTAACATGACCATGACCAACATGCACAAAGATGTCCTCATCTTGAAAAACATCCAGCAAAAACAACATAAAAACAATAAGAGAAAAAAAAAAAAAAAACGAAAAGTAAAATGATACCAATTTCCAAGCAAAATAAAAAAAAAAAAAAATAATAAGATGGAAATTATTAAAATCCATAAAATAAATTCTCTCACTAGTTATTAAAAATTGCATGGCTCTATGACAACTGCTGGCCTATGGCATAACATTAAAATGCTGATGCCGCACATACACTAATTGTACGTTTTTCAAAATATTCTATATATCTCTATTATTAGCACTTATCAATATCCTCATTGTTATAAAAACATATATGTACAACTTAACTTTAATTTAATTTAATCTAATTTAATTTAAATTACAAAAAAACATTTATCATACACATACACAATGTACACTAACATATATATGTACACACCAACACTCTTATCACACACATACTCAATGTACACCTACACATATGTACACACCTACACTTATCACACACATAAACATTTACATTTGTCAAAACACACACAATCAATTGTATAGACTATAAGACTAATTAAGAGAAACAATAAGAATATTGAAACGTATATCAATAAACAATTTCTGGAATTGGGAGTCGGATCGGTCGGTGGTTTGGACCGGGATGAGTTACATGCGGATCAGGATTTGTCTGAGTCTGTCTGTGCGAGTGGATGGGTGATCGGCTGAGGATACACTGGCAGTTTGGTGCCTTGCGTGAGACCAGTGTGTGTGACAGGGAGCATGGTTAGAGAGTAGTTAGATTTAAAATTGAGCGGACGCCATAATGCCGTCCCACTACTAACTCGCTTGCTCCCGCACTCGCACACACGCTCACCCTTGTACCATGCACTTATCCAGCCATTGTATGTCTCTCCCACTCACTCTCACTCACTCACTCACACACACACTCACTCTCTCGCCCACCGGCTCGCCCGCAAGAGCGGGCCAATGAGCGAGCGAGTGCTCAGCGTCCGCCATGTCCCATTTCTCATCCTGTCCCATCCTGACCCGGCTTCCCATTCAAAACCATACAACCAGAAAAAAATCAAATAAGCCTGCTAAGCATAATATTAAGTAATGTTAAATGTAAAAATAATTGTTAAATATTTATATTTTTGTAATTCGTCACAATTTTTGTCCTTATGTTGTGATATGCATGTAAAATTTGTTAAATTATCTCATACATGCCAGTAATTTGTCAGCTAGTCCGTTTCACAATTAGACCTATTTCGTTCCATTTCTGTCTCATATATTGCATTGTGAATTAGAATTAAGCAATGAAATAGACAATAAAATGCGACTGCTAGCTCAATCGTTAGCAGTTCGTCGTAGCGCACGCATGCGCAGCAATTTAAAAAATGGCGCAAACACTAACCACAACTAACAACCTCAATATGCTCTACACTTCCAAGGCTAGCCACCAAAGCCACAATAGCGTATTGACCAACCACCAATAAAAACAATTCGTGCTTCACCCAGCACAACAAGCTCCAACCTGAGCAACACCTAAGCGCCAAAAACAAGAGCTATACCTAGCCATAATCTGCAATACCAACAATTGCCTTCCAAGAAAACGACCGATTCCGCGTGGTCCGCTAAGCGGCGCAGTGCGGTAAACTTGTCCAGATCCAGCCATTACACGGATCTGGGCCACCAGCCGTATGTACTGAGTAATAGACCAGTACATACTACAAAAAAAAAAAAAAAAAAAAAATGGCCAATCCAATTACTCAATTTCAAATAACTAACTCAAACATTAACAATTATATAAATATTAACTGCCAAACCAAACAATGGCCAAATAAAGAACAATCAAACACACAACCAAATTACACTGTGTATTAATACCATAATCCAATAGTCTATGCAAACATGCAACAAACTTCAAATTGCTGAACAAACTTAACCACCAAAATATCCAGCCATAGCATATTGTGCACTTACAATTCGCACAAACTGCACTCCCAATTCTCAGTGCCAGAATTACCATATAACCAATTCCACTAACAATAATACTAACCCATTAATATGCAAGTCATTCAGTTTGTCAGAATAGAGACTAAGAAGAGACCCTAAAGTGTATGTTCTTAGACATGCAGACGACAACCAAGTTGCATATTAACGTTCATACCAGACAAACAAAAACAAACCCAATTTGCTCAATAGCAACAGGAGACCCATACACACCAAAAGTGACCCAAACAACAATCCAATATTCGGATACATCACACCCCTAATAAATCTGCACCGCCTAAATTCCAGTGCCTAGAACAGTCATATCAGACTTCTAAAAACTGCTTAGCTTGGGTACCTGGAGCTCTGTCCTTCCGGACATGTGTAAACCAGGTGAGTGAGCAGTTATAGATTAAAAACAGCACAACAATATCCCAGTGCCTAAACTGCTTTGCTTGGGTGCCTGGAGCTCTGCCCTTCTGGGTATGTGTAAACCAGGTGAGTGAGCAGTGATAAAGAATAAAATCTGCACAACCTCAGTGCCTTAACTGCTTTGCTTGGGTGCCTGGAGCTCTGCCCTTCTGGGTATGTGTAAACCAGGTGAGTGAGCAGTGATAAAGAATAAAATCTGCACAACCTCAGTGCCTTAACTGCTTTGCTTGGGTGCCTGGAGCTCTGCCCTTATGGGTATGGGTAAACCAGGTGAGTGAGCAGTGACCATGAAACCCCAAAAAAAAAAACAATGCTAGCCGGCACAACTCCTATGCCAAACAGCTCAACAAACCTCAAAAACCTGAACTGTCCCACCAGACTTCAAAACTAATCCACAACTAACCACCAACCTGGCGCAAACACTAACCACAACTAACAACCTCAATATGCTCTACACTTCCAAGGCTAGCCACCAAAGCCACAATAGCGTATTGACCAACCACCAATAAAAACAATTCGTGCTTCACCCAGCACAACAAGCTCCAACCTGAGCAACACCTAAGCGCCAAAAACAAGAGCTATACCTAGCCATAATCTGCAATACCAACAATTGCCTTCCAAGAAAACGACCGATTCCGCGTGGTCCGCTAAGCGGCGCAGTGCGGTAAACTTGTCCAGATCCAGCCATTACACGGATCTGGGCCACCAGCCGTATGTACTGAGTAATAGACCAGTACATACTACAAAAAAAAAAAAAAAAAAACTCCAGCAAATGCCTAACAACCCCACATTCAAACCAATTACACTAGCTGAAGTTAAAACCCAAATCAAGAAACTCCCAAATAACAAAGCCCCAGGACTAGACAGAATTGACAACTATACAATCAAAGCATTACCAGACTCTGCCTTAATATACCTTATATTAATTTTTAACAACTCACTTCGACTAGGCCATTTTCCACAACAATGGAAAATGGCTGTTGTCACAATGATACCCAAACCGGGTAAGCCGACCGAGCAACTCGCCTCATATAGACCTATTAGCCTACTTTCTGGCCTGTCAAAAATTCTAGAAAAACTTCTTCTAAGCCGCATGTTCAAATCCAAAACCTTCATATGCTATATACCAAGTCACCAATTCGGATTTCGCTACGAGCATAGCACTGAGCAACAATTGGCAAGAGTCACCCAATTTATACTCAGAGCTTATGAAAGAAATCAATTCTGTTCAGCTGTCTTTATTGACATACAAGAGGCCTTTGATCGTGTCTGGCATCCAGGACTATTTTTCAAACTCAAACCACTAATACCTCATGCGCTTTACGCAGTCATTAGACACTATCTTTCAAACAGAACTTTCATGGTTGAATGCCATGAGGGTGCCAGATCGACCCCAAAAACAATTTCGGCCGGAGTGCCACAAGGTAGCGTTCTGGGACCAATTCTGTACACCATCTACACAGCAGACATGCCTACCCCAGACAAAGTCTACACCAATATCCCACGCAACTCAGCATCCTTACTTGCAACCTATGCTGATGACACTGTCGTCATGTTTGCCAATGAATCGGCTATAACAGCCATTGAGCAAGTTAACATAATGCTGGAGACCCTAGAAAAATGGACCAATAAATGGTGTATAAAAATAAATGCCAGCAAAACGGCACACATACTATTCCATCTAAAAGAAAACTATGAACTCATACTACCCATAATTTCACCAAAAATCTTAGGCCAACCCATTATCACCAAAGACTC